GCAGCCCATATCTTGCTATCTTCTGAGTCCGTCTATGAGCTCTGTGCTGAGAATTTGTCTTCCTGTGATCTCCTGGGAGCAAAGCTTGCAGGACAGAATTTCTTTGGCCGCTCTCATTGCACAGTGCACAGTGAGCCTGCGCAGACCTGTGCTAGAACTGGAGGTTGCTGCCCTCTCCACACTTTAAGGTTTCTCCTTTAGCATCATCCCTGGCCTACCTGTTCTGTTCTTGCTTTGGGTCTGGGTGCTGGGTCCTGGGTACATCCTTATAGGCTCCTTGAGCACCCATTACCAGGAAGAAAAGATGGACATCTGCAGTCCTGCGTGACCGCCCTTTCCGACGTGAGCCTTCCCATGTGCTTACAGCCCTGAGGGGTGACTTCAGGCCCCCAGCACTTTCCCAACCACGCTCTAAGTGCAGAGGGTGAAGCAGGACGATTGCAAAGTAAAAAAGGAAGAAGGGGGGGCATATCTTGCTTGTTTTTTAATTCAGCCAAAGACTCAGGGTTCATCCTGTCTTCTCTTTCCCCAGTGGTTCTTTTTTTTTTTTTTTTTTTTTTTTTTTTTAGATTTTTTTTTTAAATCTCCCAGCTCCTTGGTGTCTTTTGGCTTCTTTCATTTTAAATTAATTTTTATGTATTGTTGTGTGCATGTGAGCATGGTGTGGGTGGCAGGGCTGTGTATGACAGTCAGAGGGTGGCATGTGTATGACAGTCAGAGGGTGGCATGTGTATGACAGTCAGAGGGTGGCATGTGGAGGTCTGTTCTTTCCTTCTTCTACTGTCAGCCCTGGGTATCAGACTCAGGTGCTCTGCCTGCTCACCCCTCTAGCCTGCATTCCCTTGCTTTCTTGTTTTCATTTCTTTTTTTTTTTTTTTTTTTTTTTTGAGACAGGGTCTCTATATGTACCATGTCTATCCCGGAACTCACCATGTAGACCAGCTGGCTTGGAACTCAGAGATCCGCTGCCTCTGCCTCCCAAGTGCTAGGGTTAAAGGGTGTGCCACCACCGCCTGTTCCCCTTCCTTTGGCTTCTTGAGTGAAGCTGTGGCACTTTGTCCTGTCATGGTGGAGGAGGTACCGCTGGGAGCTCTGGGTTCTAACAGACTGCTGCACAGGAAAGATACTGAGTTGGGCCAAGGTTTGGCCTCCAGTCCTGGCTCTGCGTTACCCTGGATCCTCTTGGTCCAAGTTACTGTCTACACCAGCTACAGTAACAATGTGACTTCAGGATTCCTGAGTGCTGGATATTTGATAGAGGAGGCTGATGGGGAAGGCGGGGGAGGCAAGTATGGCCCGTTCTTGATCTAATCCTCATCCATGGGTCTAGGTGGCCTGATCAGGAGTCTGGAAGCTGGCTCTTTGCCTTGGTCTTTGCCACTACAATGGAAAAGGCCCTTAGGCCTTCTCTGAGTACACACTCTTGGCTGATCTTATAGACTTCAGAACTCTGAGCCAATCTTTACAGTTTATAAAAGTAGCAAAAATACAGTTATGAAGTAGCAACGAAAATATTTTTATGATTGGGGGTCACCACATCATGAGAAACCGTATTAAAGGATCACAGCATTAGGAAGGTTGAGAATCACTCACCTAGGCCCATTTTCTACTTCAGGTCCAGCCTTGGCCTCACCTGTACACCTTTCCAATCTACTAGGCTGGGTACCTGCTACAGACAGAAACCTGTGTGTTTAGATCTGCCCTCTGTCATGTTTGCCCAATAGAACTGATAGCCTATTTGTGTATGGGGATATGTTTTCATTTCTGGGAAGGGCTATTGGTAGGTTTTGTATAGTGTAGCAATTCTAAGGGCTTTGCAAATTGGAACATATTTGGGCTAGAGATAACTTTGCCCTGGCAGTGGTTTCAGAAACAAACAAACAAACAACATTTCATGCTAAACCTAGTTGCTACTGGGCTGGTGAGACCTGACCCATGCCTGCTGGCCACATCCATTTCAAACTCTCCTCTCTTCTCCCACCCTGGAGCAGGCACCGGAGCTGAGCAGATTTCTAGGCACTGGGGAGCCTGAGAGGAGCAATTTCAGAGACCGTGAGATAATTGTCCTGCAGGTTCCCAGGTATCCTTTGATGCCAGGACCTCATCACCCTCCAGGATCGTATGATCACAGCTGTCATTAGCCATGGACACTGTAGTCCTGGGAGAGAATGGACCTTCTTGGCTTCTGAGGCCTGCATCCTGGTCAGGCGAGAAGCAAGAATTCTGATGGGAAGAAAGCTGGAGTCTGATTAGCTTGTGGGTTGGACCATATGAGGATCAAGGCGTTCCGGGTTACTGTGGTTGGAACTTGCTTCTCTTTGTTATCTAAAGACTACTTGCTTGTCTTCTAGCCCAAGACTCAGGTACCAGCCCACACAGAGGATACACACAGAGATGGACAGCTGGGACTGTGCCCGAGGAATGGATGAAGGACTCTGGGAGTAAATGTGCCAAGACACACATGTAGACGTCCAAAGACAGCCTTGGATGTTGGTCCTTAATTGCACTTTTCTGGAAACCTGGTTTCTTTGTTGTGCTGGCTAGTTTTAGGTCAACTTGACACAGCTGTAGTCACCTGAGAGGAGGGGACCTCAAGTGAGAAAATGCCCTTGTAAGGCATGGGCTGCAGCCAATCTTGTAGGGCATTTTCTTAATTAATGATTGATAGGGAAGGGACAGCCCATTGTGGGTGGGGCCACCCCTGTCTTGGTTTTCCTGAGCTCTATAAGAAAGCAGGCTGAGCAAGCCATGGGCACCAAGCAAGCAGCACCCCTCCATATCAGCTACTGCCTCCAGAGTCCTGCTCTGAAAACCTTTGATGATGGACTACTCTGTGAGGTGTAAGCCAGATAAACCCTTTCCCCAAAAAGGTGCTTTCAGCCATGGTGTCTCATCACAGCAATGGCAACCCTAACTAAGACATTTGTTGTCTCCCAGGGCATATACAAGCTTAGTCAGCCCTCAGGCTTCTGGGGATTTCATCCCGACCTCCTATCTCCCATAGGAACATGGTGGTTACTGATGCACTCCTGTGGCTTTATGTGGGTTCTGGGTTGGGGGTCTGAACTCAAGTTCTCACACTTGGACATAAGTGCTTTACCCAATGAGCTGTTTCTCCATATTAACCTGAAACATCATTTTCATAGTTTTCTTTTACTTAAATAGAAATGGGAGAAGCCAGACACAAACAACCACCCCACTAGAGCCTCCATTCTTCACCCGCTCACCATCTGAGGTCCACCATCATCTTTCCATCTTTCCTCCCTTCTTTGATATTCATCTATCTATCTTTGTGGTGCTGAAAATTAAACCCAGGGCCTTGCATGTATGCTAGGTGAACACTCTAGCACTGAGCTATGTGGGCCTTTGTGTGTGTGAGAGAAAGAGAGAGAGGGAGGGGGATCTTGCTATGTAACCACGGCTTGCCTTTACCTCCTGAGTGTTGTAATCTTAGTTATGAAAATGTTATTGTTCCACTCCTCCATTGCTGGTGAATGCAAGCTGGTACAGCCCCTTTGTATGTCAGTGTGGCGATTTTTTAGAAAATTAGGAAACAACCTTCCTCAAGACCCAATAATACCACTTTTGGGTATATACCCAAAGGATGCTCAATCATGCCACAAGGACATGTGATCAACTATGATCATAGCAGCATTGTTTGTCATAGCCAGAACCTGGAAACAACCTAAATGCCCCTAAACTGAAGAATGGATAAGGAAAATGTGGTACATTTACACAATGGAGTACTACACAGCAGAAAAAAATAGCGACATCTTGAATTTTGCAGGCAAATGGATGGATCTAGAAAACATCATATTGAGGGAGGCAACCCAGACCCAGAAAGAGAATTATCATATATACTCACTCACAAGTGGCCTTTAGACATAAAGCGAAGAAGACCAGCCTACAAATCACAATCCCAGAGAATCTAGATGTCAACAATGACCCTAAGAGAGACATACATGGATCTAATCTACATGGGAAGTAGAAAAAGACAAGATCTCCTGAGTAAATTGGGAGCATGGGGACCGTGGTAGAGGGTTGAAGGGGAGGGGAGAGGAAGGGAGGGGAGTGGAGAAATACATAGCTCAATAAAAATAATTTAAAAAATGTTGTTCATGAATACATTTATATTGTTAAAAATAAGAGTCAGAAACAACATAAATTGGAATTCTTAACTTCCCTCCAACTCCTTCAGGCTATTCTGTTTTTAGTTTGGTGTCCTTTCTTAGCGTGCATGCACACATACCTGGTGCTTTGCTCTGCAGTTTGTCCCCTTTAAAAACTTATTGGGCTGGAGTGATGGTTCATTGGTCAAGAGCACTTGCTGCTTGGAGGACATGGGTTCAGTTCCCAGCACCCACATGGTGTCTCACAACCATCCCTAACTCCAGTTCCAGGAGATCAGATGTCCTTTTCTGACCTTTGGGCCACAAGACGTGCACAAGAAGCACAGATATGCATGCAGGCAAAATATTCAATGCATGTAATCTAAAAAATTAGAACAAAACCCCTTGTCAATAATACTCCATGCCAGGTCGCATAGAAGCAGCCCACACCACTCCCAGGACAGCTGTAGATGATTTTATGGGCAGCACCTCAAGTTTCCATGTTTTCTTCAGCAGCCTGTGTGCATACATGGGTGGTTTGTCTCTGATAGGCAGGCATCTGGCTGAAGGATACATATATAAAACTCCAGTGTGTATAACCAGCAATGACAATTGGCTCTCCTTGTGGCAGAGAGTATATCGGTGTCTTGTATCCTACCCATTTGCCAATATAAACCACTGTCCACTCTCTTCCTGGGCTGCCTCCCTGTGCAAAGGTGAGTTTCCCATCATCGGAATGTCATCCATCCGACTTGAGCCACTCCAGAAGTCACTCCTGGTGGGGAAAGGAGGCCCCTTCCATGCAGAGACGGCCTCACATGAGCAGAGGAGCGCCTTTACCACCACTGTTGAAGGGGCCGAGGGAAAGGTGTTTCTTTTCTTGTTTCTTAGGTCAGCTGAAGCTGTCCATTGATGCCCAGGACCGGGTTCTGCTACTGCACAGTGAGTATGACTATGCAGGCTCACCAAGGGAGGAGAGGCGTGGTTCCTTCCTGCCTGGAGCTGGAAAGGGCGTGGTGTCACTATGGTGTCTTTTCTTTTCCTATAGCATTCTGCCATTTGTCCCCTGACAAAGTGGGTGCTCACTTGGGACACTTTCTCTAGACCCCAGCGCCTGTCCTCACTCTGAAATCTGGAGTTTGTTGACTAGGCCTGCATCCTCAGCAGGCCGCAGCTGTCTCTAGACATCTCAGAGTTATGCTTGGGCCAGACGCAGCAGTGAAAAACTTGTCCTAGCTTCCCTGCTGTCTTTCTTTGTGAATCTTCACTGTTTTGTTTATCCCTGCAACGGTGGGCAGCACAATGCTATGGTTAAGGTCACAGCCTCTGGAGCCACGGCACTGGAATCTGAGTCCTGGCTCTGATGCTTTGCTCCCTAAGTCAGCTTGAGCAAACTCAGTTTTCCCTCACACAGTGCTGGCAATAGCAACCATCTCACTCATGGGTTGTTTCAAGGATTAAATGAATTATTATGGTAAAGCAGCCAGCACGCAGTAGAGGTGGCTGGTAAAGATACCATGGAAAGCTATCAACTTCTGAATTAGTGTCTGAGCATTGCCACTGTGCTTGGAGCTGTGGACACCAGACATAAGTCCTTCTCTGTGTCTAAATGGTGCTGTGGTTGCCAGGGAGCACTTGGTTTGCCCACTCAATCCTGTTGTCCTTCCTTCTACCCAGTGTCTGAGTATTGCCAAGCTCCTGTTGTGGCCCTCAATGTCTGAGCTCTTCAGCTTACTTGGAAGGCTATACTTGTCTCTTTAGGCTTTCTGTCTCTGGCTGCGCAAGATACTCTGCATCCTTATTCTGTGTGCAGCGCTTGTCAGTGTTCTCTGTCTTGGCATGTGAACTATGGTTCCTGTGTCTACAATAATCTTTCTCTTTTGTTGAACTCCCTCCTAAAATGAACCTTTCCTTCCTCTGATTTTGCAAGAACTATGCCTACCCAGGACATCAGTGAGCCTCAGGAAGGAAGGCTAGATTTGTGTCCTGGTCCCCAGGAGTGACCCCTTGTCCTTACCCATGTCCAGGGGCTTTTTTTTTTCTCCCTGTTTTGGGTCCTCATTGTAGCCTGGCCATACTGTGCCGCCGTTAGTTTGGTTTCTCCTCCATGATAGGAGTACAGTAAGGGTGTGGTCAGGGCTACCTACTGCCATTGGTAGTCAGGAAGACCCAGGAGGTTACCAGGAAAGCCACACCCTAGAGGGGAGGAATATAGTTTAGGTAACAGTAGCTAGGATACAGAACAGAGAACAGCAGGCGCCTGAGGTCCTTTGCTCCTGGCCTTAAGGGGCCCAATGTGAAGTTCCCAAGGACCAAAAGAGGGGTGTTCCGGGACTGCTAGGGTCTTTCTCCAGCTGTGCAAACAGTTTTTGCAAAATGCATCTTGGCCCCTGCCATCCCATTTGTACTGTGTAGTTTGCTTTGGCTTTCCCCCAGCCTTAGCTCTTCATCCCTTCCAGCCTGGCTTCCCAGGCCTCATGCCCCAGACTACTGGGGCTTTATGTGAGCCAAACCCAGGGCCTGACCAAACCAAACACAAAAGAAAATGAGAGATAAAGGTTCTGTTAGACCGATTGCTGTGGAATTCAGGCAAGAGAGCCATTCTTACCTTTGGGGTGACCTTTTAACCCATTCTTACTATCTATCATTCTATCTATCTATCTATCTATCTATCTATCTATCTATCTATCTATCATCTATCTATCTATCTATCTATCTATCATCTATCTATCTTTATTATTATTATTTCTGTTTTGTTGATAGTGCTGGAGATTGAATCAGGTGCCTCATACCTACTTAGCAAACACGCTACTGAGTCACACCCCGGCCCTTACTCATTCTTTCATCCAGCAAACGTTTTGTAGAATGGTTTCTTATTGGCCAGGCAGCCTACTGAGCACTTTAGAAATCTTCTTTTATTTTAAAAGTACAAGTGTCGTGTGAGTAAATATCATCACCAGCTCTTAGAGAAATGTAGCATGCAGTTGGAGGAGCCGAAGTTGCTTACTCTAGCACACGGTGAGAGCATGGTGCACCTGGCTTCGTGTACTGCTCGCCTGCCTTTGGACTGTGAGCTTTTGATCATTTGTGACACTGCCCAATGCATAGCACAGTGCCCAGGAAGCTTGGGCTTCCATTCCTGGAGGCTCTCTCGGAAGGCAAAGAGAACACTGGACTGGGAGTCAAGAGACATAGGTTCTAATATGACTGCCATTTTCATTACTCTGTGATTCTGCACAAGATTATGTAATTCCTATATCTTTGGGTCCTCCTGGCTGCCGCATTTCCCCAACTCAACGATGGCTTGGACTGAATACATTGTAGGTTCCTCTCTGGCTGTAAGACTTGGGGAACGGAATGTACTCCATGCTGTGGCATCATGAGGGTGGGAGAGTGGCAATGCACCAGGCAAAGAGAGTAACAACCATTAGTTAGCAGGTCAACCAAGAGACCTGGAGTAAGGGTCAGAGTTCTGCTGCCCACAGATATGCCGTGCATTTTCATATCCTTCCATTAGTGAGTATGTGCATGTGCTGTGTATAGATCCCTGCTTACTCACCCTAATCTTTCAATTTTCTTTCAGTTATGGAAGGCAAAGGCCTGATGAGCCACGAGCCTGGCATTTGTGATCCCTATGTGAAGGTATCTGCTGGACATGGAGGCTGGTATGGGGTACTGAGGAACCATGGCCCTGAGCGGAGTCTCAAGGTCCAGTCCCACCTGTGGGTTTGGGGCCTCATTCACTGGGCCTCTGGTCATTTATGAGGCTGTGCTGGCCTAGACCCTTGCCTTTTGGCTGACTTGTTTCCTAGGGCTTTGGGCAAGAGTTAGACTCTTAAGAGTGATCTTGGTAATCTACCTAGTGGGCACTATGGCCATGCTGCTGACCGACACACAAGCTTTTTTGTGGACAGCAGCCTCTTCATTCCCTTCCCCACCAAACTGAGGCAAAACAGTCAGGCTTGGGCAGGAGGGTGGAAGGGGTATCTCTGAGGGCTGCAAGATCTTTCTGGGTTAGAGCCTTGCAGTGACTGCAGAGGACCACAGGGGTGAAGGTTACAGGAAGTCAAAGGCCAGGGACATCCTAGAGTGCAGCAGCCAAGAAGCCAGGTGCAGGCCTGATGCTCTCTCCCCTTTACTTCCTGAAGCCTTTCCTGCCTAGAACTGGAGAAAGACTTGACAGGCATAGGCTGGACACCCAAGGCAGGGGAAGAGGACTCCTGTAGTGAACGCATGGCCTTGGAGCTTCCTAGGGAGGGAACAGAATGTCCAGGGGCTCCTAGGGACTTAGAAGGGAGGAGGCCTTTGGGGAAACCTTCCTGGTTGAAGCAAGAATAGAGATGATAACAGCTGCACTCTATTCCAGGGACCTATCACTGCCTTCTTGGTACCACACCATGACTCCCCGTCGCGGTGACCATCCCACTGGCCCCAGGTCACTTGTTTGTGATGGACACTCTGCTCTGTCCTCTTCACAGGCTGCTTTGAAGAGCCTTAGGAAGCTTTTAGTTTGGGGTCATGCAGAGCTAGCTGCAAGGCTTAGGTGACGATGTGGCCTAATGTTTTTACTTTCTCTATTCAAGATCTCCTTGATCCCCGAAGACACCCAGCAGTCCTGTCGGAAGACGCAGACCATCCCGGACTGCAGAGACCCAGCTTTCCACGAGCACTTCTTCTTGTAAGAGTCGGGGCAGCTGGGCCAGCCCCTGAGGGGAGAGGCAGGTGGGGAGGTTTTGTCTGGGGCAGCCTCTGTTTGCCAGATCTAGACACAGATCTAAACAGAGAAACAGCAGCTTCTGAAGGATGCTTTTGTTTTCTCTTCCTCGTGTCCTTGCATCCCTGGCCTGGGCCCAGCAACGAGGCGAGCAGCAATAACATCCCTTGGCTGGCTCTCCTGACAACAGTCACCAGGGCTGGCCCTCCTTCCCGAAGAGTAGCCAGTTTCCTACTGTGCCTCTGGCCAAGTTTTTACCTTTAACAGAAGGGAGTGTTGTCACCTGCTCATCCCGCCCCTCCCTTTTTATTTAAACTCATTAACCTTCCTGAGCCCTGGCTTCCTCGTTTGTAGAATGGAGTTAATAATAGTTCCTGCCTGGGGAGCTGGGGACTCCCATCAGAGTGGGAGCTGCTGTTGTTGTTATTACTATTATTTCTTTCCCCCATCTCTGGGCACTCAGGGGCCAATGGGAAGGTCATGGACATTTAGTCTTTTCCTGTTAGTGAGAATGAATCATAATATTTTGGTTTTCTCCTCACTTCATGACATAATTTTGCATATGATGCAAACTTAGACTATATGGGTGAACAAAAAGAAAAGAGAAACTAGTCAGACCCCTACTCGCGCAGATACGCCTCGCAGTATTTCCTATAGGATCCCTTCGTTCACGCGGGCACGCATCTCTGCGTGTGCTTACAACACAGGATTGCTTTATAATGGCGCGTCCCAGCCTTCCTTCTGTTCTTAACCATGTAGTCGCCACCCTAGTATGCGCGTGAGGCCCCCTCTCCCACACTATATTTAGCCAGTTGTAGATTTCTTCTCAGCTGTTGCAGTCATGCCTAGCTCTGTGAGCCTGGCCTGGAGCTGGGCCTTCCTAATGCTCTGACCATCTGCTTTGCTTCCTAGGCCTGTCCCAGAGGAGGGTGATCAGAAACGTCTTCTGGTGACTGTGTGGAACAGGGCCAGTGAGACCAGGTAAGGAGACCTGCTGAGCTGGACTGGGGTGGCAGCATGCAGGAGGGGATAAATGCCTTCATAAGTGGAGTTGCAGAGGCTGCACCCCCCAGGCCCTATCACATGGAAGTGATGATGGAGGGGGGGGGGCCAGGACACATTGTCAGAGAACATTAGCTGAGCTCTTGGTGTCAACAAGGCAGAGTTTAAATCCCCAGGGATGCCAACTACCATCACTTGACTCTGCTCTGAAGGTGTCCACTGCCCCAGGAAGGGACGTTAGGCACTGTCTGGAGGTAAATCACAATGACAGCATATCCTTAACCCAGTTCCATCGGGCTTACTTTGCTCTGAGTCACCACTGTCCAGTGCATACATGCTCCGTGAGTACTGACCTCACAACCTAGAATAGGACGGATGAAAGCAAGAGTGTGTGTGGGAAGGTGACTGGGAGGGCTTCATAGGAAGAGTCAGGCAGAGAGTAAGACAAGGAGAGAAAGAAGGGGAATTCTGGGACGGGCATAGTGTGAGGAAGCAGAAAGTGATGTTACGACGTGGGGTGGGGTGCAGTAGGCAGGCGTGAGGGTTGGCTGCCAAGGCCAGCTGGGCAGGAGCAGCAAGGGGCTCACTTCACAAAGGCAAAATTTGAAGCTGAGAGACCTGATCGCCAGGAACACTTACTTGTTCAGCAAGCCAAGAATAGAGCTGAACTGAAAAGGGGCCCGGGTGAATAAAAATCAGCTCAGCTCTCCAGCCTAGACTTGGAAATGCTTTTTGTATATGCACCATGTTGGGGAGTGAACCCAGGGTCTTGCATATACCAGGCAAATGTTCTCCCATTGAACTACAGCCCAAACTCCTGAATTCTTCTTGGTAACATAAATTCCATTAGCTACTATGCCCACTTTTGTTTTGTTTTTGTTTTTCGAGACAGGATTTATTTCTCAGTAGCTATGGAGCCAGTCTTGGAACTTGTTCTACAGACCAGGCTGGCCACAAACTCACAGAGATCTGCCTGCCTCTGCCTCCCACGGGCTGGGATTAAAGGTGCAGGTGCCACCACCACCCAGCGCTACTGTGCTCTTTTAGGGATCCCATTTAGCCTTGAGAATGAAGAGTGTTTGTTCTGATGGAACACTTTTCACCACAGAGTGACGCTTATGGTGGTACCCACTTGGTCTCCCCATTTTGTCATTTGTCCATCCCTCTGCCATGTTCCCAGTGCTGAGCCCTCCTGCTGCTCTCTGGAGGTGCAGTGACAGGCGTGAGGAGGTGGCTGGGGAAGGGGGGTCACACTGTTAACAGGCACCCAGGCACCTCACTTGTGAGGTGCTGAGCTGAGTCCGGCTAAGAATGCATTATCTCATTGTGTAGTTTATGTTAAGCTTCCAGAAGAGGTGACCAAGGCTCAGGGGGATCAGCCCTTGCCCAGGATCACCCAAACAGTGGACAGTAGAGCTGGCAAGAGAAGACAGACAGTTGGATCTAATTCCGTCCTGTTAGCATGTTGCCTCCTAGCTCAAAAGGACAGAGTGGAGAGGGTGGGTTTGTGGAGCAAGGCCATGTGTAAGGACTCCCCCGTGTTTGGGGAGGGTCAGGGTAAAGCAGTCCTTCAGCAGAGCTGAGATGGAGGTGGTGTAGATCCAGCCAGCTGGATCCATAGGTCCTCTAGAGAAGGGTGTTCCTCTTTAGTGCTGGTGGTCTCTGGTCCTGGCTGGACATCAGAGTCTCCCAGGGTACCTGCATAGAATACAGGTTCCCAGGCACTACAACAGATGGCTGACCCACATTTCCACGAGCAGAACCTGGAGGTCTACTCTTAGACAAGGCCCCATGATAAGCTGATGAAGCCAGCGAGATGTTTGGGATGCTGATGAGAGAGTGACAGGTATATATGCTGTAGATTTAAGGTTTGGGAAGTTCTTGTGTAGGACTAGGTGAAAGAGAATTGATGGGAACAGTATTTGATCATAGTAGTCAGCCGTGACGGCAGGAGGAAGGGGTGTCACCAACAGTGTGTGAAGGGCAAGGGAGATGCTGCTGTCTGCTTGCTGGTGGTGCATGTACAGGTTGGCTGAGATGCACCACCCAGGACACACTGAGTGTCGGGCCCTGTCTTTGAAGGGTCAGTAAACTGGATCAGATGCCCTAAAAGAGCCCAGAGGAGTGTCAGAGAAGCAGAGGGACATCATCAGCAAGGTCCTGGTGGAGGTGAGGGCTGGAGCCGAGCCTTCCTGGGAAGCAGGCAGGCAGAGCTGCAAGAGGAGCCAGCAGTGCGGGTCACATTTTGGAAGAGAAAGTGAGGCTGGGGAAAGTGAGTCAGCCCTAGCAAGGCCGCCTGATCAGGGCACTGTCTCTACTAGTTGCCTATTTTGGGAAAGTGTAAAACACAGCCAGCCTTATGATCAGAGTCGCAGTCCTAAGCTCAAGAGGGCTGGGGGCAGGCCCAGGCAGGCCTGCCTGTGGAGCAGATGGCTCCACCGAGGTTGTCAGCACCACGTTGCTGTTTTTCTCAGCTGGCTCTTCTTTACTGACCAGAAGAGGTTTCTGAGCTGAGCAGACAGACAGCAAATACAGAAAATACAGGCACTGCCAAACGCTCCCAAATTAAATTGTGTTTCTCTGAAGGACAGACTTAGAGTTTATCAATGTGAAAGACCACCATGGAAGGTGGGAGGCGAGCTTGCTGGACTGTTCTCTGTTACAAAGCATCTTCCACACTGTATCTCATTTAACACAGGTTTGGACGGGTGAGAATTATGGCTGTCTTTCTCTTGAGGTTATATAATGCCTGGTTCTTAACAAGCATTTTTCTATGTGAACATTAAGCCCATGGCATGCCTTATCTAATTTAATCCCCACTCTCTTCTTTTACGGGAGGGGAAACAGGCACAGAAAGGTTATGTAACTTGTCCAAAGTAACACACCTGGAATGCAGAAAAAAGTCAGCTGCAGACCCAGGCAGTCAGAAAGCAGGTCTGTGCTTATCGTCACATCCCAGTGTGCTGGTGACAGATGACTCCAACCACTCTCCTTCCCTGTCAGTGTCCTGTTCCTCCAACCTTGAGAGAACCACCCAACCAAGAAGGAAAGATCCTCCCAGTGCTGGCTATAGAAGCCCACTAGGGACAGGCTGTACAGAGACGTCCTGGTGGGGCTGGGGAGATGGCTCAGCGGTGAGAACACTTGCTGTGCAGTCAGGGGAACCTGAGTTTGAATCCCCAGCACCAAGGCCAAGCATGGCAGCACGCAAGCCCCAGCACAGTGGCCGTCAAAGACTCAGAGGGAGTTGGAATTTCCTAGTTGCCTGCCTAGCTCTAACTTCAGTGAGAGACCTTGTCCTGAGGGAATAAGGTGGAGCTGGCAAAGCAGGACACTTGACATGGTGCCCTATGCACATATGTGCACCCGTGCACATACACCACCGATCACAGGAGCTGCTGATTCCAGTGCAGGTCAGCATTTCGGCAAGAGCTGTGGAGAAGCAGTGGGCCTGTGAAGGAGAACCACTCTCACTGGCTGGAACGCTGTGGGCCAGCCTTTCCCCACTCTGGGCCTCAGTTTATTTGTTCGTAAAATGCAGTCATTGCTAAGGCTTTTTTTTTGTTCAAGTTCAAAGTTCTGTGAGTATTAAAAATTATAGCTACTTTCATAAAATAGCTTGTTAAATTAAAACAAAACTATAGACCTTTTTGAAGATATACAAAGCTAGAAGGCAGATACCAACCCCCCAAGATGCAGAACCCCAATTCTTCTGTTATCAGCGTATCAACGTGTGGCTGATTACCTTTCTCTCTGCCCCACCCACTTGCCCCTCCTCCAATGGATGGTTTTCAAGCAAATTCCACACAATTTCATGTGTTATCAGTAATATATATATAACATATATATGTATTTATATAACAATTTATAAAGAAGCAGAGCCATGAAGATGTAATCACGCTCAGGTAATAGTAATTCCCCCAATTCTTCAGGCGCTTTGCACACAGAGCTAAACCGGAAGTCCTGGTGGTTAACAAGCAGAAAGGCAAAGCAAAGCTCCTAATATCGCTTAAAGCACTTTTTGAACTTGTAGCCAGAGACCAATCTTGGAGAAAAATGTAATTGTTCCTCCGAAAGACAGACATTTGACTCAATGTGAAAGACTGTTGTAGAAGGATATTAATAAATTCTTAAAAGATATATATATAAAATTAAAGAATGCAATTTTCTATGATAACAGTAGCTGCATATATGGAAGGTCTGTTTTGCTGTGTAGCAGGCACCACCCTGGAGTAGCCCTTTTGCAAACAGGATCTCTTTGCCAAGTATAGTGGCCTGACATTAGAAAGCTTCTGACTAGTGATGGCTATATAACCCAAAGGAAAAAGTGAATAGAAAAACATGTATTTGATTTAAGGCATCAAACTAGAAATAAAGATTAAATTATGTAACCCTGTGATACAAAATTGTTCAAGGTTCATAAGTGAGCAGATTAATGTGCCTTCCCAACAACCACAATGTGTCTGGTCGTGCAGGAAGCCGAGCACTGCCTGCCATGTGCTCCGTAGAGTCACTCTGAGCCTCTGCAGTGCTCGGTCCCCTCTCTGAAAAGCCCTTCCTCTCGTTCTCTCTAGCTCTGCTCATTAGGGCTCCTACAAGCCTTCCAGTCCCAACTGCCTCTTGCGCCTTTACAGTTTGTAGCCTGCACTGTTCATCTGTCAATCTCACTCCACCTTGTGCCAGGCCCTGTATGGCTGTCTTGAACTGCTATTTAAATTCCTGCCTGTTTGTCTTGTTTCCTTAATAGCAAGGCTCCTTGCACAGTGCCTGCCAACCGTGGGCATGATGGATTCCCCCATTTGTCAAGCCTTTGCTGGGTGCAGAAGCCTGGAGCTGAAGCCTTCCTTGGCAGTCAGCAGTGACCAAGGCGTGGTTCCAGAGCCTCTTCACAGAGGGAATTTGCTGGCTTCTCCAGCATGGGCTCAAGTTGGTAAACTGACTGGTACCCTGCCGAATACCCAGGCTGCTTATATAAGCAGTTCTTTCTCCGAAGGGTTTCAAAAGCAGCCTTTCAGAAGGAGCTAATTGAAGAACACTCAGAGAAAGGTTCCTGCTTGTGGACATTAATTGTGACAATTTACTCTGCCTGAATGATCATGAAATCACTGGAGGCCCCTTAGCAGGAAGCAAAGCTCAAGGGAGGCTATTAACCATTTAGCATTCTCTAAGCACCAGGGAATAAAAATTCCACTTACAGCAGAGAAGGGAGAGGCAGTGTTTATTACAGCTAAGCCCTATCCAGGAGATGGGGAAATCGGCAGCGTGGCCAACATGAGTGCAGAGTGTGCTCACCTCATTACCAGCCAAGGAAGGCTCTCTCAAACGTGCTGATGAGAAAAACAAACTTGCTAGGATCACGTGGGTAGAGCCTGCAAAGGCTGTCCTCCAGTGACAGCCATCTGGGTGACTGCTGCTTGTGGCAGGCTAGCCTGCTAGTGTGACTCTAGCCCCTTTCCAGAAAACTGGGTAGGAGTGTGAAGGGATTTTTTTTATTAAGGTGACTGCATGACTCTCCTTGAGCAGATTGTTCATGCTAGGAGGGCTCAGGGAGGAGGAGGAGCCCATGAGCCTCAGCTGGAGGAGGAGAGATGGCTAGATGAACATCCAAGGCCCCAGCCCTGAGGCTGTGGATAGGCAGGCAGGCGGCAGTGCCGAGGACCAGTCCTGAGTGCTGTGTCATGCCCCTCCCTTGACATGGCCGCCTGGGAGAAGCTAGTTTTGTTATGCTTACAACTATCAGGTGGCAAGCTGCCACCCTTTCTGGAGAATCCAAACAATATGTATTTATTCTTGACCTCTGCTTGGCCACGGGTGAGTGCTTGGCAGAATCCCTGTAGAGCTTTCTCCAGGCTCCAGTACCCAGATGCTGCCTCGAACTAACTGGGTTTGGATCTGGGCATGAACTCTGTAGCTCAAGTCTCAGGCATCTTTTTGGGCAGCTCTTTGATGCAGTGCTATTCAGAGTCACCTCCTGGCCTGGCCCCTGTAGACCAGCATCCTGGGAAACACATCAGCAGGGAGTTTTTCCTACTTCCATCTTTGCCTTCCATCTATGTGGGCCCTACAGATAGTGAAAAGGGCAGCCAGTGTGTTATGTGTGGTGTTTCTAGGTAGTAAATAAACCAATCCACAAAGGATCTGTGTTGGGAGCTGTAGGAAGAGAGGAGGGGAAGAAAAACAAAACAAACCAAAACTCACAAAAGGCTCAAGTATCAGTGTGAAATGGAATCGCTGTACAGTAGAGGTACTTAAAATGCATTTCTATCCCATCACAAAAGCAGCAACTATTCCTGTGAAGATCTGAAAAAAAAAATGCTAACAATCCCACCTACCAGACATAGTTGTTGTTTGTCTTTTGTGGTTCTGATTCCCATGAAACTGCAGCTTTGTACGGGTCTTTTTCTCAGACAATAGCAAGCTTTGGCATTTCATTAGCATTGAATAATGCCATCATTATTAAAAGCTGTTAATAAGTTCCTAATAGTTGGACATTCTTTAGGCACCTTTAATTCCTGTTGCCCAAGAAGCCCAGCTTAAACTTTACCCCGAACCCTAGTCTGGCAATGTATGAAGCTGACCTTGGTTCATGCCTTTCTTTCCCATTGACAGCAGGGTCATTGTGAGTCATTGGAACTTTTGTGTGTTGGGTATGTGTGGAACTTGGTCTCCAGCCTCCTGAGAACTGCTTAGGTCCTTTTTGGATGTGAAACAAGGTTATGTGAACTGAGGGACCATAACTTTCCTCTTACTGCATGTCCCCAGCTGAGGTGGTGGCTTAGTCTCTGATGGGAACAACCCTCTGCACCTACCCAGCACGAGAACAGCTAAAGCACTCCAGGTAGTCCTGAGCTTCTGTGGTGTTGGAGAGTGCACCATCCGCCCAGGCCTAGGATGCTCAGGTGCCCTCAGAAGCCGCATGCACACTGTGGAACATTCAAGAAGACATCCTTGAACAGACAGCAGGAGACTCACTCTCTGCTCTTCTTCTAGGCAGCGCGCTCTCCTCGGCTGCATGAGCTTCGGGGTAAGGTCCCTTTTGACTCCAGACAAGGTGAGTTCACAGGAAACTTCTGGAGCCGTAGTCCACTTAGGCCCTGACTGCTACAGTCATGCTGGTCCTGGAAAAGCTTGGGTTGAGCTGCTTTCTGTGACATGGTGTCCCACTGAGGCAGGCATTGATAACTTAAATTACAGGCTGCTGTTGTCACTGGGCTGGCTAGGGGTCTGAGTCCCAAATTGGGATGTAGTACTCCTAACCTCCTCTGGTACCCCTCTACAAAGGTTCTCTTGATGTGTCTTCTGGGTGCAGGAAGGGGAAGCACGGGCACTGGTGGCATCCCTCTTAAGGTGGGCTCATAGGAACCTTCCTTTGGGTCACTGTCCCTCGCCTGTCCTTACTAGGCACTGCAGTGAGCCCCAGTCTGGAAGCTCTGAGTAGGCGAGGGTGCACTTCTTCTCCACGCCTTGAAAATGTCCTTGTTGCCTGTTTTGTGTCCCTGCCGCCTAGCTTTATGTCCTGGAAAGAAGTCACGAGATGGCTGTGTGGAGGTCCTTTGGACCACCTGGCTGCAGCCTTGACTTCCGTCTCCTGTGTGAATGGAGAGTGCACAGAAGTCTCGAGTGTCTGCTTTGGTGACCTCCATGCTGCTCTTCACTCCTTTCTTTTTGCTTGTAAACAAACATTTCATGAGCACATATTGTTTACCAGGGTCAATATTAGGTATGTCCGAGAGCCTGGCTGGAGGCAGGCAAGTCTCTAGCTGTTCTCTAGGGGTAAGAGACTAAGGGAGGACCACTTCTGTCCAGAGCCTCGGAAAGGCTTCTTGGTGTGGGTGGTTGAGGGATGATGTCCAGCTGCAGGTATTTTTGTTTGTTTGTTTGTTTTGCTGCCTTTGAGGGGTTAGTGGTACTTTTGGCCTGTTTCCTCTGCCTCTTTGGTCTAACCATTCCTTCTCTTCATGACAGGAGATCAGTGGCTGGTATTACCTGCTAGGGGAGGATCTGGGCCGGACCAAGCACCTCAAGGTGGCTAGGCGGCGGCTCCGGCCCTTGAGAGGTGTGTGTACAAGCCCCTTGATGCTCTCCGACCCTTAATAAATGAAGCATGAGTCTGGGACTTTTTGCCGGTGCCTATAGGACCCCAGACTACCCCTGCCTAAGACGTCATTATTGTATGATAGGCTTTTCTCAGTTGTGCCACCTGCCTTCATACAGATCAGTCCCCTGCCTCACCCACAGGAACTTCATGACTCCCCTCTGTCCCAGGCTCTATCTCATCTGTGACACCTTGTTGACTTTGGGGATTCCACCTCTACAGGCAGGGCTTTTTTCCTTCCCAGCCTTGGCTCCTGAGCCTCTGCTTGCTCTGAGCCTTGGCATCCTTCTGTCCTGGAGTCCAGGAGTATCCCTGACACTCTCATCCCTGACTGGCTTGTGCATGGGCCCTCGTGCCAGCGGGAACTTTCTGACACGGCTTTTATCACCTTTCAGACGTGCTGTTGAGAATGCCAGGAAATGGGGACCCTGAGAGTGGGGAGAAACTCCAGGTAGGTGGGGGACACTCTTGGCTGGGGCTGGTGGAGCCTGAGCATGGTTCTCTGGTCTCCTTTGTGTCAGCCTCTTGACTCAGGAAGTGGCTGTGGAAGAAGGCAACATTTGGTGTTTGGAACTCAGCAAGTCATGCATTGTAAAGGAGGATTCTTGACTTTGCTAAGGTGTGCCGTTGGGAAGGTGTGCCGTTGCCCTGTATGTAGTTATCCATGGCCTTTGCAAGGGTAGGAGAGAGCCAGGAAACACAGGTGACTGGATCTTTTGGAGTTTTTGACCTCTGGTAGCAGAATTCTCCCTTCCCCCAGGTCCCCAGAACCTGTGTTTCTCCTAGAATCATGGCTGTGTCGTCTTCATAGGGTATTCCTGCTGGGGCTAGGGAGTAGCCATGACTCTGAACCTGAAAGTTATGGGTTTCTGGCTTCCTGCCAGCTTTGAATCTAGAGAGGAACGTTATATAGGGATTGGAAGAACTGTCCAAAGTCTCTTCAGTCTCTTCGGAGAAGTTGTTAGGTGACACGGAGGGAAGGTAACTCCAACTCCCAGGGACAGGTCTCTCCTCGGACACTGTTGTGTTCTGATTCTCACCGTCTCCTGTGAGGTGGTAGTCACCACCCCACCTTACAGATAAGGGGAAATATAGATCCACAGGTGTTATGTCACTGTGGCCACGCAGCCAGCAAGAGGTAAACAGTGCCTCTGGAAAGGGTGTGCCATGCTGTCTCTAGCGTGTGGAGAAGACGTAATGTTGGCACGCTGCCAGCCCTCTTACGGTCTAGGAAACCTCTTCATTGGCTGAGCTCATCCCTTCTCTCATACACTCTGGGGTGGTTAGACCTGCATGGGAAAGAGCCTGGGTTCAGCCCTTGTGGGACATCCTGTAGAGATTGTAGCAGCTTGCTACCCGTGGCTTCTGAGCACTTGGCTGGAGCCGTCAGTCTCTCTACATAGCACACTGCACATCTGTGTGCCCTCAGTCTCTCTGCATAGCACACTGCACATCTGTGTGCCCTCAGTCTCTCTACATAGCACACTTTATAAATGAAAAGTAGCTCCCGAGTGCCCATCAGTCTCCAGATGTTTTGTGTTCTCTGACTTGGGTACGGTGCTTAGGGCATCCCAGATTGCGCCCCGCCCCCGGGGTTAGTCCACTGGATTTGTTCCTGGGGACCCTGGGATTTGCAGGGAGGTGTGCTGTTACAGAACAGTGGTTGTTTTTTTTCCTGCTTGAGTTTCCCTCCAGCAGGCAGTGAGGGGTGTTTGTGAGAACACTGGACTCACAGAGTGGCCCAGGGCAGAGAATGCAGCCAGAACAAAGGCGCCCTCTCCCCGCCAGGCCTGAGGAATACTAACTAGTTGACAGGAATTTTAATATAAAAGTCTCCCTCTTCCTTGTCATTCTGAGGTTTCAGGAAGCCTTCGGGCTTATCTGCAGAGGCACACAGCGCAGACAGGGTTTGGGGAGGTGAGAGGTGATTTCCTGCCATTCTTCTGTGGGGCGGGCTTCCCAGGGCGGCCATGCCAGGCTGACGGGCGCAGTGCAGGCTCCCACTGCTGGGGGAGAGCTGGGTTTCCATGGGGAGGCAGCTGAAGCAGGACCCGCAGCCATGAACCGCTTCCATGGGCTCTGCAAGGTGTGCTCTGAACGCCGCTACCGGCAGGTGGGTGCTTGGTTCCACAGGGAGTCAGGGATGGGCGGATCATCCATATAGGATCTCTCTCCCCATAAGGTCTTCATTGCCCCCTCCTGTCTCCTGCAAGCTCATTTTGATGTGGGGAGAAGTTAGGGGCAGTGACTGGACAGGTGGCCCTGCCTGCTACCTAAAGCCTCATGTCATGGGCAGCTGAGGCCAGTTCTGTGTATCCTTACCTCTGGCTGCTGTCCCTGATGAGGTGATTTAGCTGATTTTTTTTTTTTTTTTTTTTAAGCATCTCAGGTCTGAGATTGCCGATGGTTTTGGGCTGGGGAGTTGAGTAACTCCAGAGAGCTGCAGTATTGCTGACCTTCCTGTTTCTGGTGGTCAGTCGCACCCATTTGTTCCATGTTGTGGGTGCTTCTGTGTGAGGTAGGGTATTCTGTGTGTGCATAAGTTTTCTTCTCTGCTGTCTCTATAGTCCACCTCACTAAGTCTGCCTCTTGGTTCCTGGGCTGGGCGGCTGGGCAGAGTCAGACTGATAGTAACAATTACCCTAAGACTCTTTTAAAACTAGGCTTTTCTCTTTCTTTCTTTCTTTCTTTCTTTCTTTCTTTCTTTCTTTCTTTCTTTCTTCCTTCCTTCCTTCCTTCCTTCCTTCCTTCCTTTTTTTTTTTTTTGAGATAGGGCTTCTCTGTGTAGCCCTGGTTGTCCTTGAACTCAGAGATTTGCTTGCCTCTGCCTCCGGAGTGCTGGGATTACAGGCATGGGCCACCACCACCCAGCTAGGATTTTCTTTCTTATAAAATAGAAATGGTTTGGTATAAAGGTAAAAGACACCCAGACTTGGGTAATGTCCAAGCTGGAGGGAGCACACAAATTTTCTCACTTTTAAAACACAGAGAAGGCCCTCATTATAGACTCTAGGTCCTATTGGTCACAGGGAGATGCCCACGGGGTCCCCTGTACCTCTGCCTCTGTCACTCGGGTATCCAGATATCTCTCCCAACCTTCCCCTGCTCCCAGGCCCTGCCCTGCTCTTCCCAGTCTATGCTCCCTACTTTCCTGCAGTTGGACAGAGCGTTTAGGTGGTGGGGGCAGGGTAGGCACCAGGTGGAAGATAATGAAATCCTAGGTATCTTTGGGTTAGGGGGCCAGAAGACTGGGCTGTGCCAGTGGTCAGAGTAGGACCTGGTGCACACATGGGCTGGACCCACAGTTCTGGGCTCAGAGTAAGGACGGCCTCTGCCTTAGAAGCCGGGGGCAGAGCTGACTGCACTAAGTTTTCTATGGGACCAGAATTCTAGTCTAGCTTGGTCCCCTTTAGCTTCCTCTCTTGAGCAATTCATAGTCCCTTGTCCCTAAAATAGGAGTAGTGAAATAGAGACAAGCCTGTGTGAGCAAGAGGATGGCTCCTATGGAGTGCCTGGCTGTGTGTGCTGCCCATCTCTAGGGAGCGGTCAGTAAATGCCGGCAGCTAGGGACAGGAGTCTAGGTGTGGCAGAACTTCAGAGACTGGGCAGGTGCTGGCATGGCTGAGACAGGAGCAATGGCACTTCTTGCCCTTGGCAGGCAAGAGGAAGAACCACCCTGGGAAGGACACCTGTCAGTAGCTGCTGAGGTCCCAGAGTCAGAAGAGGTCAGAGGAGGGGTTGGGGAGCATTCCCTCACTTTGGGCCTTGATTACCTTCTCTGTAAAATGGGCTTGCTGAAGTCTCTCCCTTGCGATATAGTGATGGACAGACTCTTGGGATATTGGATACCACCCTCTGCATGCTCAGAGGTCATGGTGGCCAGAACATCGTGTTGCCTCCATTGCCGTCCACTCCTCTCCTGCCACTCCTTTGCTTTCCCACAGGGTGGGATAGTTCTCGGGGAGGTAAAGAGGCTCCTGTACCTGTCTGAACACATGTTCGTCTTGAGACCGGGGAGCTGGGGCTCACCCCCCCAGTCATCCTTGGCACCCTGTGCTGTAGGTTTCGGGAAGGGCTGGAAGGGGGTCTGTGTGGCATGGAGGGTGGGTGGCAAGTCCCTTGTTAGCCCCACATAGTGGCTCCTGCTGTCTTCTCCGGACCTCTGCTGGCCTGGCAGTGAGGGCTCTTGTTCTTCCATCATTCCATTCACGCCTGGCTTTGTTTAGCTTTTTTCCCACTTTTTCCTTCTCTTCCTGTCTTAGCTGTGTGTTTTCCCCGAATTCTTATGGGAACAGGGTATTTTCCTGCTTCCTATCCCTCCCCCTTGTCTGTCAGATTTCCTGTTTTACAAACTTGCTTTGAATCCAGGCCCAGGACTGGTGGGAAGCAGAGCCTCGGGGACCTTTGGTCACTCTGGGCTCCTGCCTGCTCCCCTTTGCTGACCCTGGTCTTGGGGTGCCATCAGGTGGACACAGGCACCCAGCCCTAAGAGCCAGCGAGGCTGCTGCCCTGTTTTCTTCCTCTTCTTGGCCAGGACACCTTTTCTGGTGCTTGTTCTGAGGGGGATCTCGGGACTCCCTCGGAAGCCATTTTCTGATTTAATCATCTCTGTGAGCTGGTGGGCTGTGCTGCACACAGAGCCAGCCTTTTTGTTTTTTGAAGATTTTATTTTAAAAGTTTTTTTTAATTATCTTTTTATATGTGCATGGGAATGTGTAAATGAAGGCCAGAGGTGTTGGACCCCGCTAGAGCAACCTGACATGGATGCTGGGCATAGAACGCCAGTGCTAGCACTAGCAAGAGTAATGGCTGTGCTCTTAACTGCTCATGCAGCTGTTCTCAACCTAGGGGTTGTGACCCCTTTAGGGAGCTAAATAACCCTTTCACAGGGGTCACATACCAGATATTTACATTACAATTTGTTTTTTTATAGTTAAAGTTTTCCTTATTTTATTTTTTTTTATATTTATTTATTTATTGAAAAAATTTCTGCCTCCAGTAGCAAAATTACAGTTGTGGAGTAGCAATGAAAGTGATTTTCTGATTGGGGGTCACCACAGCACGAGGAGCTGTGTGAAGGAGTCGTAGCACTCAGATGACTGAGAGCCACTGCCTTAAGCCGTTTCCAAAACCCCAGCCATGAACATGCTGTAGGTGAGACGCTGTTACCGCCCCAACGGACAAATCTTTGCTGAATACCTGCCACTCACAGGTGTGGTGTCTGGGGTCACACAGGCATGGTGTCTGAGGGGGTCACACAGGCGTGGTGTCTGGGAGGGTCACACACAGGCATGGTGTCTGGGGGGTCACACAGGCGTGGTGTCTGGGGTCACACAGGCGTGATATCTGGGGTCACACACAGGCGTGGTGTCTGGGGTCACACAGGCGTGGTGTCTGGGGGG